TGATCTATTTCTATAATATTTTACCGTCGACTCGGTTTTAGTGATACCGTCAGAAAAACCGTCACATGTCTGTCATGAATTTGTCACATGACAAAACTAACGCCAGTCACTCTTCTATTTTTAGTTTGACGGGTGTATAACGGGTTGAACTACTAATTATTCCCAATATACCCACGAACAAGAGGGGACCTCGATCTTCCTACAAAATCTGCATCCGAGCAGATTAAAATCCCGAGAGAAATCTAAAAAAAAAAATCCATTTTAAACACTGAATCCAATTTTCTTTGAAAATTTCATAAAAAAGTAACAGTAGGGAAAAAGAACCTGAAAAAATGTGTAAAGATGAAGAAAATCGGGAAAATCGATTTATATTGATTTCTCCAATAATAATTTCTCGAGTGATCGTCGACCGGAGAGACCGATCGATCGATTTCGAAGAAAGGAAAAATGAAAAATGGAAAACCGGGGAATTGGGTAGGCGGAAAAAATATCCCCGGAAAAAATAGCCCACACACCCAAAACGTGTTAAACCCACCCAATTTGATAGACCATAGGAAAATTAGAGCCCCTGAAAAAATAGACAACGAAAAAAATAATTAAATTAAAAAATAATTAAATTGAGCGAGTCTTAACACGTTTTGAATGTGTGGGATATTTTTTCCCTGGGATATTTTTTCCGGGATTCGGGAAATTGACGTGTATCATGAGGAAAAGTGTGAGAGTGAAAAAAAAAATGAGCCGGACATTAACGCTTTTCTCGATCAGGTCTTTTAGGGGTTCGAGCGGCAGTAGGGGCCTTACTCCAGACACATAACCGGTTCGCAGCTGCAGTTGAACTAGCGAATATACATCAGAGAGACTCGCATTCACCCACACACAGACATATGGTGACCACGCGCTCAAGAGCGATATCAACGAACACAATCGAGCTACCAGAGACTGTGTGGCAGCTTACGGGAGGTACATATAAAAGGGGTCCAGCGGGTGGTGGTGGCTGTGACGGTGGGGTAGAGAGGAGAGTAGATGAGGTGAAAAGAGAGAAAGAGAGAGGCTTGGACTCTAAAGATGCAGAAAGTAACGACGTGCCCTCGGGGGCCACACAGCAAAGAGGGAGATGGAGGAGGAAGAATCGAAAAGGCCCCAGCAAGAGGTCCGCAGTGTCGTTCAAGTGACCGGGGATCGCTACTCCCCAAATCCAATGGTTCTTTGACTCTCTTATCCATTTTCATCAGCGGTATCATATGGTCCCAGTGTTTTTCATCTGTAACTCGTCGTTCTATCCGTTCATCACTCAACAAGTCCCTTTTTACGACTGTCCTTTGGCACGTGTGTTTTATCATCTGGGGTACCAAGTGGGAGGAAGAGGAAGTGTCGAGACCCTCAAGTGCAATCTCCCTCGGCCCTTTCGGCATTGTTCGATGTCACCGCGACGTTTTCTTGTGCTCCTTTAGTGCTGATGTAACTCCGTGTCCTGAAAAAAGTATTTTATCGTGTTTTCAATATTTTTTTTTAAACATTTCTCTGGATTCTTGATAAATCTCTAAAGGTTAGTGAACGCTCGTGGAATTAATGACCGACTGTATGTACACTGTGTCCTTGATGTCTGCGTGACGTCATTGGGGAATGTATTTATGAGGTTTTACTGACATGTTGGGTTTCAATTGCAATTGCGAGGGGATTTCATTGCTGTGGGTGAGAGGGATGTCTGGGGATGGGAGGATCTTTGGTGGAGGGATTTCTCGTTCGATCTGATGACTCAACTGGGATTTTCAGTTTTTTTTTTTTGATATTTCTTTCGGAGGTGATGGCGACTAGTTCGGAATTTTGGATTTAAACTCGAAAGATTTTTATAATTATATGCGTGGGACGTTTAACTGGCAGTGGGAATGTCTCATCGCGATTTTTAGATTTATCCTGGGATAAATTCAACTGTCAAACGACGACTCGGGACCGGTGATATTTTTTTATTTTGGTATTTTATACAGTGGTGGGTATTATTAGTTTTTTTGAGAATGCGGGATACATGGAATGACTATGACAGCTTATAATTCTCACGGGAATCATTCCCATCAGATCAAATTACAATTTCTGCGGCGAGGTGAAATCGCTCTTGCAGGCGTTCGGGTAATACTCGCGAGATGGAATAAAAAAGAAATGTTTAAAACGGGAGGGAAAAACATCGATTGTGAGTCATACGTATTTTCTCGTCGTTGACGAGGACGAGTGTTGAGAAATAACCAGCCAAGAAGATTACCACTTTCAATTTCAATCCAATCGTTGCAGTTACATCCGCTTTATACTGTGCACTCGTTCTATCGTGTCACGCGATATTTCGCGAATTCGAGGGGGCAGAGATAAAAAAGAGGATGAGTAAGGATGAGGGCTTTGAGATATACATTTGGTGGCACGGAATGGAGCACGTGCGCAAATTTGGGCTTCCTGGGTTTTGTGGTGGATAACCACCTGCTTTGGTAAAAACTCGCCTGTCAATGCCTCTTCACTCCTTCACATTCTCTTTGTCAGGGTGAACCTAACGGGATCCATATTTTGATAAAATTCAGGGACAAAGGAACGAGGGCGGAATGAAAATAATCGTCTTACAGAAAAATTGGTAATTGAGAAAACGATTGCTCCTGTCAGAATCAATTTTTTTCACAATTAAAAATTTATATAAATTTCACTTTACTCGAATTTCAGTTTATTGATTGATTGATTTTTTCGTTGGAATTGCATTCGTTATAAAAAATGAGAAAACAATCGAACGTTAATTAATAATTGTCAATTAATTGTGCAGTGAATAAAAAGTCCCGGAATTTTTTCAAATCATACCAAATGACGTTATTAATCCAGATGAAAATTTCGCGACTTCATAACCGGATTACAAACTGCTACGACAATTTTTGAAATAAATTTGTCGGTGTATTTGCATTTCTGAATCCCTCGCACCAAATCTCGAATAAATCGAAGATGACAACAGCTAATCCCATTAGGAAAATGATAATGGGAAAAAATCATAAGATGAATTCTGACGTGCGACAGATAATTCCAATATACGAGTAAAGTTTCTTTGAGCCCGGCAATTAGCAGCGGTCATTTCGATAACGATTAAAAATCCAGATGATATTGCTGTAATCCTATCCACAAACGACGGTTTAATCTCCGCGTATAGACACATCGGATTGAGCGTCTCATTTTGTCGGTATCTTGCTCCTTTCACGTACAAACGCACCTCTTCATATGCATTTGCACACGCGATGTACGTAATCTCTTCCATACGCAATCCCCAATGGTGCGCCTCCTCGCACTCCAACGGCGCATTAAATGCTACGACATATTTGCATATGCAAATACCATTTCGCAAAGCTTACGCAGACTCCTCACGAATGTATCTCCACCGGTGCTTTTTCCTTGCCCTCATCTTCCGCCTTTGTTTCTTTCAATATTTTTTTTTATATACACTCTCTTCATTTTTGTTCCGGCTGTCCCCCTTCTGCCCACAACCGAGCTAATGGACGTTGATCATTTGCTCAGGGTATATTTTCAGGACTGCCAAGGCTTAATAACGACTTGAGTGCCAACTTCCTACACCATCCGAAATAACCGCGAATTTCCAAGTCTCCATTAACCCTGATTATTTTTTTTTTTTACTTACTGTGTCGTATGCGTCCACTGAACTCTGAAAAAATAGGAGGGACTCATTTACTCCGGGGAAGTAAGGGCTTTCATAAAATCTTAGTCCTCCAGGTGATGGCGATTGGGAATTTAAATCATGTCATGATAATTTATTGCTCTTACCTTATGGTTGTTGATTATGATAATTATTCCGAGGATACAGGGTAGATTCTCTGTATGAAGGGTTGAGGGGTATCAGCAGCTAATGATATTTTTTTGGGACTTATCTCTTTGTTCAACCGTTTTTACTACGGTACAAAGGATTTTTCTTCTTGGCATTTTATTCATTTGCGAGTTAATTGAGGGAATTCGCATGTAGATCGCGACAGGATATTAAGTGCCGCCATTGATCATGTCAAGCTGGTCAGTTGGTGATTTTAATATTTACCATTAATTACGCTTTTTCTGAGTTGCGATAAATTGCGGCCTGTACTCAGCAAAATTAACTCGCCAGATAATAAAATAAAAACAATTGGAGTCGCCAGATTTTTTTTTTTGAAGACGAATTATATTATTTCATTGTTCATAGGTAAATAATTAATCTAGTTCAGATATTTTTAGTTGAAAATCAGAGTTACCACTTTCGAAATTATGTTCAATAAACTTTGTTGGAAATCCGATTTTTCACTCTGGGAAGAAAAACTGAGAATTGACGAGGGAGAAAGAAATTGAGAGGTTCAAGTGAAGACATTCCGAGACACTTCGGTATTTTCTCTTCAGAGGCCCTAGGACATGGAGCTGATAAAGTTCTACTTAGAATATTGACTCATTTCCGGTATAAAGAACAATGAATAGCTATCGAGAAGCGATTGCGTTCGATGAAGACATCAAGAATGTTCGCCTGAGCAATAAAAAATGTTAAAATGTCAATTCCCTAATAATTATTCCAACAGCTCTCTCTATAATTGAATTATTGGCACGCCATTCCCAGTGAAGGATTCCCCTGGTAGAATTTCCATGATCTGCAAATGAAATATAAAAAGTCGATTGAAATTATTCAAACCACAATGACTCCACATGAAAGGTCAGAGAAAAAATAGACACATATTCCTCGACATGTTCTGTGGTTGGCGAGTCTGTGGTTAACCATGAGCATAAAAATTATCTCGAAAAGGAAAAAAATATCACCTGCAGACTATCGCTTTATCGGAAAAACCTCTCGATTACAGTGTGTCATCGACTCTTCCATCTCTGCATGGAAAAGTGAAAGGTGCTGAGAGGACCTGTTGCCTATATTGAACAGAAATTCATTGGTTGAATCAGTGTACAGTATCAGGTGCAGTCGATATACGCATGTGGCTCAGTACTGCTATTGAGACTGGCGTATCGACTTTAATCGTTGGCTCGTCTGCGAGACATCGATTCTACCGTGTCCCCTACGGCTGAGATAAGAATAGAAACAGAATACATCGCCATGGTTCAACCCCGATCATTCTGCAACATGTGAAACTCCAGTGTTACTTTCAGTCTGGGTTTTGCCTTTCAATTCATTGCATTTGTGCACAAACTTTTGACGTTGATTGTATTCACTAACCGTTTTTTAGATTCAAAATTCAACCACTGGCTTCGAGCGCCATTGGCGACAGTCTTTTGTTAGTAACGGAATTGTCGGTGAGTGTTTGTGAAGTGGTGGAAAATGGTGGATAAAATCGAGGGATTATTCGATGCAGATGAGGAATTACCGGGGAATTGTATAATAATTGAGATTTTTGGCGGGAAGTGAGAGAAAAATTGGAGGTAGAGCTCGGAAATTAGAGTTATTTTGTCCCTCAGCGTCCTTTTGTCCCCAGATTTATCAGTGAGTCGCAGATGCCCCGAAATTATTCTCGGAAAATGAATGCCACTTCAGGAATCTAGTATTTTTACGTAAATAATGGAAGCCTGACGAATTATTCGGTTTCAAAAAAGAGATTTTGAGATCTGAGTGAAAATTTTCCAACGTCGAGTGCTTCAATTTTCCCGCGGATTCTCTGGTAATTTCGTATTTCAGAAAATTTTTAAGATCATGGCAAATTCCATTATAAATTTTTGCCCGGGTAATTGCATACATAAAAATAACAGCGGAACGGCTCATTACCCCCCATTCATGAAGTCGTTAACTTTAATTACAGTTGGTGATTGTAGGAAAATCACCTCTGCTTATTTGTTGACGAGTTGTCTCTCCCCCCCTCTACCTTTTTCATGACTAAGGACTTGAGGGACAAAACAACTCGAGGTTTATACCCAGTTCTCTGTACGCGTGCCACTCGTAAACACGTCGACAGATGCAGTGCTAATAGTGAAGTGATATTTATCAAACAGGTAAATAAAAAGTGAAAACCGTGAGTCATTTGCAAACGTAAAAATAAATAAATGTGTCAGTGATGCCTAGTCTGTGCTGCGTACCCGGTAAACCGAAAAAAAAGGATAACCCTCAATTAATGTAAAAAGAAACTAAAAATGTGACTATTGGATGAACGGAAAACATGCCAGAGGAAGGTTCTTTCAAGGTTTACTGTGGCATTGAGGTAAATATAATTTCCCACAATTTTTTTAATCTCTCTCTTGTCTTTCTTCACCCTTTGAGGAACTTTCTAAACTCGTGCGAACTGCAAAAAATCCGGAATATCTCATTTTCTTAAATGAAAATTCCATTCAAATGGCGGTGTTAGTTAATAGTTAATGGCATTTCTGGGCAATGTTGCGTGAAGGACGCGACCAACTTGCAACACCTATGTTCACGTCGACAAAAGGGGTTGGCCCATTAGTTCTACTTTTGCTCTCGGTGTATTTGCTTTTGTGAAAACAGTATGCGGTTAACTGGTAACCGAGTGCAATAAGGACGCAACTTGAGTAACATGGAAATTCGCTCTGGGATAACGAGAGATCTCACGCGTGTTTATGGACATTATGGTTCAACGGATTGTTCAAGATAAATGCCAATGAATATTTTCAGATTATTCACTGCGATTTCAGGTATTTCTTCACCGAGTTAATTAAATTAATGGCTTTGGGACTTATCGGATTTATACATGGGGAAGTTTCGCTCCTATTAGATGGGCAGGAGAATGGAATACGGTGAATGGCAGGCGTATATCTTCCAACGATTCTTGTTAGCTGATTGGTTAGTGCTACTATTCAGACTATGATTTATGAATATTGGGGAAAAATTTATGAACGTACTCCGAGATTTAGGGGAAAAAATCATTCGTGTTTCTTCATTACGAATCATATTCGGAATACACGAATATCAATTCGTGTCAAGACAGTCTAAAGTCCTTCGCAATCCGATTTCTTCTACGGGGATTGAATTAAAAGAGATGTACAGTGACGTCATGGTTTGAATTAATCAATTCTCAACGGATGAGTAATTTCTAGTGAGACTTAAATTGGCGAGATAATTTGGGATTTTTTGCGATTTCGTGGTCAAGTCAAATTTTATAAATTAATTCCTGTAAAAATTATTGAAATTCATTGTACTTCGGAGCCAGTGGACCAATACTATTTCTTAACAAGGTCACGAACGATTGCAATTCTTCTTATTCGATAGTAATCACGGGATGAATCACGATTGAGTATACCTTCATGACCATAGTTTACCCTCTCATTGTTCGTCGAAAGGCACTCGACCAAGAGTTATCGCCCAATGTCCAAGAAAACATAATTGCGTTAGCGTTATTTACAACATCCTGAAAATGACCCTCGCACCCGTTATTTATCGGGCGTACGAGAGTTGAGAAAGCACGTCATTTTTATCGGTCATATAATCATTCCGGCGTGGGGCCAAACAGCGACAAAGCCATTCAAAAAGTGACAGTATTATTTTTCGATTCTTATTATTTCTCTGAGCCTATCACCAGGGCAAACTGATTTCTCCCTCGTTCTTTGTTATCTTCTCTTATCTCATGCAGCTTTCGAGGCATCACTGAGGTATTGCCAAAAAATTGACTATCGAGGGCTAAAAGGAAGGGATGAATTGGGGAATGGGTGAGCTACGAAGCGAGAAAAAGCACATGAAATTCTTGTCATAGGCTCACAGACCCTCTTACCTTTACTCTGCTCTTTTAAGTTAGATATTGCTGTGGAATACTTCTTTGGGAACGAATGCCTATCTGCTACGTCTCCCGTTTGAGCCCTCAAAACCCCTGGGGTTCTCTTTTCCTTTTACTCCAATTTTGTTGTCAAACGACAGATGACAGTTGTCAATGAGCTCAATATTTTTACTCTCCTCGATTATTGAACGGGTTTTAAACCTTCTATCGTTGATCCTCTCGTTGTTTAGCAGTTATTGTTTGACGTTTGTGGTCTAATGGAAATGAATAAAATGAAAGTTTCCACGGAACTTGTTCTACACTTGGAAATGTCCGCCCGCAGGGTTCTCTCCGCTCGTTGTCTGGTGTATATCGAGTAAAAGGAAAAGAATGTTTTTCAAGAACAGAGAGTTTCTGGAAAAATGTTTCCACGGACGGGATTAGCCGAGTGAAAAGTTTCCTGGTGCAACTGTTGGGGAGGCATTCCGAGTTTTTCGGGTGGGAAGAGAGGGTGAAGTCTAGATCTGTCAATGTCTCATCAAATACGTATGGAAATTTCCCTTCCATTTTACCCAGTAGCGGATGTTTAATTGATTCATTAAAATTCAAATTCATCCAAATCTCAAAACCCTCGCAGGATTATCCACAAATTTTCACTAGAACAAATTTATTCCCTGAAAATTCATTTTGCGAAATTTTTCTAATGGCGTATGTGATCTTCACTTGAAGTTTCATTTGGGTTTCCGAGTCTGAGAATTTTCCTATCACGGAATTGTTTAAATATAGAAAGTTCCTCAGTGCAATGGGAAAGTAATTATCGTTCATGTGCGGCGATGGAGACAGCAGGATATCAATTTGGGAAAGGAGATGAGTGTTGGATTTTGATTTTGATGGGGTGAAGCTGATGCAATGGGTTCGCGATGAGACGAGAAATTTACACGTCGCGAAATCTGCCTATTAAAAGGACTGCATGTGCACAGAGCTCGAGGGGTCATACAACACGTATAATAGGGTAGCTGGGATGTTTACGGAAATTTATTATAATTAAATAACCTCTGTATGCACACGCAACGGCTATTTCGCAAACGGGATACCTGATATTTTCATGTTTGCTGGAAATGCATTGGATGTTAGAAATGAGGAAGACTTTCATTGTTCTCTGTACACCTGGAAAATATAAAACTTCATGAACCGTTCATTATCAATTCTCGGGACAGTGACAAGTTTTTTTAAAAAATTTACAGTTCTGTCTAATTTATCCACAAAATTTCGAGATTTGAAAGTGTCTTTAAAGCAATTATAATACGTACTCCAGTATTTTTATAATGTAAATGGGATTTTTGGAGTAATTTATGTACTATTTTTTTTACAGTACATGGGTTCGTTTCCGGTGTCAAGTTCGGATGTTGCCAGACGAGCGGAGTTTGTTCGTTCGCAGCTTGAGAACTTAAGGGTAAGTGATTTGTTATTGTTTTTATCCTACCATAACTCGTGATTTATCCGGAATGATCCCTAGAACTTCCCCAAAGAGTGCAATCGATAATGAGATAGTCAGAGTCGAAATAAGAATCGAGGTTTTATAAAAAATTTCTCCCCGCGTATTTTCCATCGATTTGATTATCAGATACACAAATTTGATATTCATATATTTGATTGATTGATATTTACCCGAGTAATTTTCTCTCTCAACGGATATCGATAAGGGACATGAGAATGGAAATATGAGGGGACAAGATAAATTATTCTCGCACGCCTCGATGCATAATAAGAATCAATGTTAAGTCACCAGCGAAATGGGTAATGGACCTCGAATATTTGCCGTATGTTATCACATACATTGTCAATATTCAGTCCAATCCAAATAAATTCCATTATCCGCCATGATGACTGAATCGCCGGTCAACCAAAAAATTCTTTGAGAATAAATTCCATAGAATCCCAGGGAAACCGATATAATTCCGCGATGAGTAATATTATTTGCCGTTACGATTCTGTATTCATCTTTGGGCCTGTAGTGTCGATATATCCGATAATTTTAGTCATTCTGCTCACGTTTTATATCTACTGTTCAATAATCCGAGGTGATACGTCATTTTTTTATTTATTCATCTAAGTCTATTCTCGATTTTATATTATTATTATTATTCCCTTATCATATCTTCTCACGATTACCCACAAAATTACAGTTGCAAGTAAAAATCATAACAATTATATCCAATCAGTCATTAGAAATTCAATTAATTGCCAGAAGATCATTATTGGAAATTGTGGAGTAATTTTTCAATGAATTTCTCTCGGTCCAGGAGTTATTGCTTTTTTGGATTAAATAAAAGAAATTGTTTATTAGGGTGCAGCCGTTGTTTTGGTTGAATGGGGACTATTATTTATTCCATTATCGCTTTGCGTTCTTATTTCATCTGGAGGTGTTTAAATAGTTTTTATGACATATTCGGAGAATAATAGAGCCACAATGAACATTTCTCCTTTCTTTAAAGGACTTCGCCGGCTTGAATCAATAAAACGAACTTTTCCAATCACAGTGTGACCAAGAGTCAGTAAAAATGTAAGGAATTTAACTTGAATGTTCCTAGGTATTTTAAATAAAATCGAGGGGTAGCGCACACAGCATCGGAATTCAATTTCATCGAATAAGAGAAGAAATAAAATCCAATAACATTCTTCCATACACGTAAAAAATGGCACGAAGTCTGGACTGAGAAAAATTTGTAGTAAAATTTATCCTGACGTATTCCTTCCCAAGGAATTCTCACACTTTCGAAGGAATTAAAATTTTCTGGTTAAAAAAATCACAAAAGAATGTGATTTCATCCAGTTTTATCTCAATTATTTAAATTATTACGAATATTTCAATATATTGAAGGAGATATTGAGTTAATTTCCAAAAGAGTCTATCAAAAACGAAAATATTCCACTTTCATTATAAATAATAGAAATCCGAGTTTCCGGTGGATTCCCGCGATTCGAAAATCGCGAAAAAAAATCAGTTACGCTAGAAAATTAATTCATCGACGTAAAAAGAAATTCTTTATTGAATTGAATCGTAATGGATCGGGGTAAAATGGATTCGATAGCAAAAAAATGTATTTGTCCATTTTTACAGCTGAAGATTAACCGAAAAAGTTAGTAAATTTAGCGGTGCGTTCAGTCAATCGATTTTTCTCCTTTAAAACTTGTGTCTCGGTTCAGGGCTATTTGTTATTCCTTATCGCATTAATGGGCGCGAGGTTGAAGGGTGAAAAAAGGGTGGGAGGGGCACTGGTGAAGAAATGCTGGTACATTCTCAGGAAGATCACGATAGAGATGGGGTCCATGGGAGGAAGGGAGACAAATAATAGAACTGTCCTCAGGTCTTTGTGTGTGACAGTCGATGGCTGATGTTCTGAAATTAAACAAAAAGGGGGAAATTTTTTTTTTCCACCAAGATTCAAGGTGATATCTCTTCATCGGGGAAAATTGCTGCCGGTTAGACGAAACGACAGGTTACTTTTTTTTTCTTCGACGTTAGTTTCCCTCATTCGCCCTTCATTTTCTTCCTTCTACTATCACCACGTCCTCTTTGTCGACACTTTTATTGCGGCACGGGTTTCTTGTTTTTTTGTCAAACCCTCAAAGACACTCGGATTTGCTACTTTTTTTCGTTTTTCCTCGACTTTTTTTTGTTCCATTTCAACTGCTCATCGAGTGTTTCCACTTGATATCGTTTATCGTTTTCTCATCCGAGGGATGAAGAAGCTTTTAATAGCGGGTTAATTGATACGTCTGATAGTTTTGTTTTTTTATTTTGTAAACAAATTGGAATCTCTTGAAATCCCATTCTGAGTTATTTTCTTCCACTGGTGAATAAATCAATGAAAATGTCAATTGATTTTTCTGTGGAGGCACAACTTTTTTATTTTGGATGGAGGCATTCGGTTGTTGATTTGGTTATTGTTAATTATTCCGGGCAATTTCTCATGGTGCTGTTAGTAATTTCATCTATTTTCATAAGTCATCAAATAGGGAGGGTGCGACATTTATGTCTGAGTGAGGGGAAAATTCATTGACACGAATGTGCAAACCTAGGACCCACCCATGGTGAGAATTCGATACTTGTGTGTGTCGTCGTTCCTCTCATATTTCCCCCAGGATTCGATCGAATTTCCCATTGTTAGACGAACCCGTGCGACCATCGTGAATTATCGTTAGTCGATTTTGTTACGAGATCGTGCGAGGAGAATCAAAATTCAAGGTGAAGCAATTGTTAACGACCCACCGAATCCCAATTTTTAGTCTAGACCATTTAATTTTTTTTCACCGACAAATATATAAAAATCTATCGAATAATTGCGTTGAGATCATTAAACATTTTATCTCACTAAAATTCCAATTGAATTCACAATTCTCGCCCAGCGGAATTGAAAGAAAAAAATTAAGAAATTCTGAGACGTCAGTCGGCGATGTTCGCGGGTTTCCGCGGATTTCCGCGGATTTTATTTATTTATTGATCCAAATTTAATCTATTATTTCACATTACTCTGATAATGAAGACTGAAGCATAACGGAGATGGAGAGAAACCTCCATAAGCTTCCTCCATTTCCTCTAAGTCTAATTGGAATCTAGATCTTGGAATTCCTTATCGCACAATCAGGAGAGTTCATCCTCGAAATGAGACGCTAACATGACGCGTAACAACTCTTCATCCTTAATAAAACCCTTCGCACTTCAAAAATTTCCCTCGATAATTCCCCAACTCCTCAATTTTTCCGATTTACCCATATTATCCTAATTAAATAATATTAAAAATCAATACAATAATCCCCATTATTATTATTACTCTTATAAACGATTATTGACATTGAAGAAATCGAGAATCTCCCCAGAGTTTGATAAAAATAATGAGAATTTAATTAGAATCGAGTCTAGATATTTCGGTTGGAGGAGTCCAGTTTGAAAATATAAATAATTCACTCGGATAAATAATTGATTTACGGATAAATAATTTTTTTCTCGGCGCATTGATGGAGTATTCTCAACAAAGACTTGAGGGACACCTTGTAAACTCTCGAAACGTACAGACTATGTCCTCTTCCTCGGCATTCTCACTGGGTCATTGAACTTGTACAAACGTGTACATCTCGATGAGATGTTGGTCCATGGAGTTCTGTAACACATAGTATATAGTTATATACATGGGTCTCAGTCACGTGTCACGAGTGCAAAACTACACAGTGACAGATATTTTGTATCTTGTTCTCCAACTTGTCGAGTTGATGAGGCGTAAGATTATAAATTCTCGCACTCAATCCCATCGACAATGCCGCATCATTTCGAATAGCCTTATCTCCGGATTTCATCGAAACGACAATTTCACTGTACCGCCCATGTGCATCTGCTATTTATGGTGGTGAATCGCAGCTTTGGCATCATAAAAGCATTTATTTGGAATATTCAAATGGTGCAGTTGAAGAATTTTACAGTCTCTGCTGCTTTTTTTTGGCGCGTCTATTGGAGTTGTTTCGTTTGCTATTTTTCATTGCGAAATTTTTGCGCTTTTCTACGGGCAAAACTCATTCTCCTACCGCTGCCAATCAGCTGGAATCTATAAACGTACCGTGATACCTCGCTTTTTAATATCGGCAAAATATTTTTACCCCAATTTTTTATGAGTTTTTCATATTTCCAATAGAAAACTTTACTGGACCGTTCCGAGTTATTGACGCGTTATGCTGCGGATTGAAATGTATTTCGAGAGTTTTGAGGGCTTTGGGGGTGAAAAATTCGTGGTGTTTGGTAAAATTGTAGATATTCGGTGAGTGAAGGCAAGTGGATAGATGAATCTGCGAAGCGTGATGTAAGGTAATCAAATTATACTGACAGAGTTGCGAAAGGCTGACGTGGTTGGAAATTGATGAGCATGTTAACGAGATGTGGAATTATGCTGTGGTGGCTTAAGAAAAATGTTCGGGAATTGGAGGATAATGAGAAAAATGCGAGGGCACTGGACGATATCTCATTTGGATTTTTATCGAGGCCTTTTTTACTCGCATTATACTAGCTGTCGATGGAATACTCCGGGAATTTTACATTTTTTTCGTTCGGTGAATATTACACCTCTATATTTCCTCACGTGCTACCTTCCGGTCTTTATTAACATCTTCTGTAAAAAATGGCCAGGTCATATTATTCGTCATTCAGTCTCATAAATTCTCCACTGTCCCGTCGCTTGCCTTTATGAGATTCTTAAATTCTCAGATAGCTCATAGAAACTGGATGCATTTCAATAATTTCGGCGACGTACCTTCATAACGTATTTCAATCATTTTTGTTTATAAAAAAAATCCAGTAATGACTCAAATTCTAATTAAATTCGCCCTAAATTCCTGATCAGTCGAAAAAGTTTTTGTGACTGGGGAAAAAAAAATTGTAAACGGAATATTTTTTCCAAATTTTCA